CAGCCGAAAGAAGAAGAAGAAGAACAAAAACAAGTAAAGTGATATCGGTGACTTTTATCTGGACATGTCTAGGCAACTTGGATGGAGTTGCTGATCAGGAGTTTGGATGTTGTGACCATCGCAGTGCCTCCTGCCCTGCCTGCAGCCATCACTGCTGGCACCATCTATGCCCAGCACAGGCTGAAGAGCCAGGGTGTCTTCTGCATCAGTCCACCACGCATCAATGTATGTGGCAAGGTCTCACTCTTCTGCTTTGATAAGGTGAGGAGGAATTTAACAGAGGTTTACTCTGTGTGTAGACGACAGTCATGGCCACTTCACATGTCCATTTGAATTTCATCAGAATACTTTTGTTTTCCCAGACAGGAACTCTGACGGAGGAGGGGCTGGATGTTTGGGGAGTGATGGAAGGGGGACCTGCTGGGTTCTCAGAGCTGGTCCCAGAGCCCAGACTCTTGCCCCCAGGCCTCATGCTCTCTGGATTAGCCTGCTGTCACACTGTGACGCTGCTGGAAGGTCAGCCCCTCGGAGACCCTCTGGAGCTGAAGATGGTCGAGTCCACTAGTTGGGTATGATAGCATAAAGCTTTTTTTTTTTTTTTCTTTTTTTTTTTTTCAAGAAGCACTTGACTTAAAAATTTTAATAACTGAATTGATTCAAGAGTTTTCAATAGTATCAGTAAATGAGAGTGTTACTGATACCAAACCCTTTTTGTCATTTAATGAAAGAAGACAGTGTTCTCAAATCAAACCAAATTTTATTTGAAAAGCCCAAAATCGTACATTTGCCTCAAAGCACTTTGCAATCTGTATAGCATATGACGCTCTGTGTCCTTAGACCCTTGAATTGGATAAGGAAAACTTCTCCAAAAAACCCTTTGACAGGAAAAAGAAATGGAAGAGCAACAGAGGGATGCTTCTTTTAGGATGGACACAACATGCAGTAGGGAGATCTACAGCAGGTTTTTTTGAACATACAGTCAAGTTAAAGGTGGTGGTGTACTGGACTACTTTATATTTAGAAATCTATTTTTGTCCTCCCAGCTACATAGATGAGAGGGTCAGAATATTAGGAACACCTGTGAATAGACTGTAAAAGCAGATTTTGCCGCCTCTTCTTTTCCCAGATCACTCTGTTATGTCATCTATACCTGTATTTGGATTGCACTGTCTAAAAGGGAGTCACTGAGTCTAGTCTCTGTGAAGGATAGAGCAGCAGAGCGTGAGAAGTCAGTTCGGTTGAGGAGGAGTTCATCCATTTTGTTGACTAGAGAGCAGAGATTCGCTAGATGGATAGATGGGAGAAGCGTCCAGGTTCCCTCTGTCAAAAGTTAAGGACAAAATGTTGCATTGAATTAAATACAATTGTACAGGTGTACCTAATAAAGTGGTCAGTGAGTGTATATCACAAATATTGTTGTTGAGGCAGTAGGCTTTTAACGTTGAATGATGGTTTTTTAAGTTACGCTCTCGTTCAAAGCTCACGACACAAGAACAACTTTGTTTTATCGCACCTCAGGTGACCCACTGTCCCACGTCACACTGTAACCTTTCATCTTCCATCATGACGTGAAGTATTGTCATATAAAATCTAATTTTCCAGACCCTCCACGAGCCAGAGGGAGATGAGATGGTGTTGGGTGAAGAGTTTGGGCATCACAAAGTTTTGGCTGTTATGAGACCACCTGCTCACCAGCTTCAAGCTCAAAGAACTGTGAGTGTCTCTACCGTCAGTATCATGTAGATCCATAGGGGGTTATTTGTTAACCACTAAAACACTGTTGTACAGGCACTGATATGTCTATTTCTTAACATTAGTGTTACATTTGGACAATGGGCCTAACATAGACGCACTGGGGCGTGGTGGGAAATGTGGGCACATCAGAAGTTTAGTGTGTTACTGCGTTTTCTGCAGTACCTTAAATATTGTGATCCATAAAGAGTGTCTGTGTCAAGGGTTTTTAGCTGTGCATAACTATTGTCTTTCATTTTACGGCCAGTCTACAAGTGAGGCGATGGCCATCGTTCAGAGGTTTCCCTTCTCCTCGACCCTGCAGAGGATGAGTGTGGTGACGGTGCCCTGTGGGGGACGCTCGGCTTTCGCTTTCATTAAAGGATCCCCAGAGATGGTGGCTAGCTTCTGCCGAGCAGACACAGGTCAGACATGTAATATTGGTAGTAACTAAAGCTTTAAAGGAAATGTTCACTCAGATGTTTCTTAATGATCTGGTTTAACTGTAATTGAAAGATTTCTAGTGATTTAGAATGAAAATATTTTTGCACAAATTCACGGCACTGAGTTGTCAGTGCCTGTCTTTCTCAAATGTAAATAGTGTAGCAGTTTGTGTTGTCTACCTGTTCCTCTTACAGTGCCAGCACAGTTCTCTAACAAACTGCGCAGCTTCTCCAGTGAAGGCCTCAGGGTTCTTGCACTTGGCTATAAATCATTAGATAGCAACACTGACTTTAGGACCATTGAACGGTGAGAACACAGTCTGCATTTATGATTTCTTTGTGGCAAAGCTCCTTCATAGGCACTTTTTAAAACTCTGCAACAGATTGATCTGTGTGTTAATGTAGCTGTGTCTGTCCACAGTGGGGAAGTAGAGAAAGACATGCAGTTTCTGGGCTTGCTGATGATGAAGAACTTGGTGAAGCCAGAGAGTCCCAGAGTTATTAACACCCTGAGACTGGCACACCTTCGTAGTGTCATGGTCACTGGTAAGATTTATTTTGCATTTGTATTTACCACAACACAATAACACAGCATAGTTGCTCTTTTTATTAAGGCATTTAAGTTTTTCTCTAGATTATTTTCTCTAATTTCCTCTTTACAAATATTGTCCTTTGCCTAGAAAATGAAGATTACTCAAATTCACATTGCAAGGTTATATGCTTTGTTATACCAGGGTCTTGCTTTGTCTTTTTTCACACAGGAGACAACATTTTAACAGCAGTTAATGTAGCAAAAAGCTGTGGGATGATGTGCGGTGATGAGAAGGTCATATTTGTTACTGCCACCCCCAACACCACAGAGTCTGTGCCCACCCTGAGGTTCAGCCTGGAAGACGGAACGGCCAATGGCACCCAAAGCTGCTCAGACGTTGTCACTCTGGTTGGTACTGCTCCTTAGGCTGTCTAAGTCTGTGGTGTACTCTGATGCCAAAATATCCCTTAGACATCTGTGAAGAGGAGAGTCATGGCTTTGTGTGAGGAATTTTTTAGTATTATTTTCTTGACATCTTTGTCCCTGGCAGCTTTGACTGTTACTGTGTAAAAAATATTAGAGATGACTTTCATCATATGTCAGGCTGAGTATGAACGATCGTCTTTTCCCAAGCAGACGTACTTTGGGACTTGAGTGACAACCGTGAAATGGCTTGATTGGGAGTAAAATCTTGAATATGGGTCCTAGAGTTTGGATCCCAGTAGCTTTAATACAGCTGTGTTAAAGCAGCTAAGCCTTACTTGTATACACACATTTACACATGCAAGATTTTACTATTTAGGTATGTCATGTTTAATAATTAAGTTTTAATCACAGTAAGATACATAAGAGCAAAGTTGAGGCCTACATTTTTATACTGTCAGGTTGAATTTTAGTTGTTGTTCTTGATATTTTCTCCTCTCCTCTCAGGGCTTGTACCAGGGTGGTTTTGGCTATCACTTGGCTATTAATGGCAAGTCCTTTGCTGCCCTCTGTGAGCACTTCCCTGACTATCTGCCAAAGGTAATATAAAATGTTCTGACAATGGATTGATTATGCTAATGCACCAGTTATATTTGGTTCAAACAGAGGCATGCGAGTCTCTTTTCTTGATACTGTATGTTCTCCTTTCAGGTTTTGATGCGAGCCACAGTATTTGCACGAATGGCTCCTGATCAGAAAACCCAGCTGGTGAAGGAGTTCCAGAAACTGAAGTGAGTTTTTTTAATAATATATCTGATTAACCATACAGCATTATGTTGTGACTGCTGGACAGCACTGACTGGCCAGTACTTGATGTTAAATAAGACACCAGTTATTATTTGAACTCTAATGGTGCCCTTCTGTTTCTGCAGCTATCGGGTGGGCATGTGTGGAGATGGGGCCAATGACTGTGGAGCCCTGCGAGCTGCTGATGTCGGAGTTTCCCTGTCTGAGGCTGAGGCTTCGGTTGCTTCTCCTTTCACTTCCAAGACCGAAAACATCAGTTGCGTGCCACTGCTTATCAGGTGAGGAAGTAGAAGGCTTTAAAAGTGTTGGAAATTAGAAAAGCACTTTTAAATAGGGATGACACCTTTTGAAAATCAGACCAGTAATATTGACAGTATATTATCTGCTGTGGAAGAAATAAAACTTTTTCTGCCTCTGCAGAGAGGGAAGATGTTCTCTGGTCACCTCCTTCAGTATCTTTAGATACATGGCCCTGTACAGCCTTGTTCAGTTCTGCTCTGTCCTCATCCTCTACACAGTGAGTAGTAGCTCATCACACTCTTGCTTTCAAAGTTACACCCTTTCCCTGCTTAGTCCCTGGTGGATCAATACTGTGCCATTTCGGCTCATGACTGCAGTTTCTTCCTTCACCTTTATTTATTTTTTAAAGCTGAATTAACTGACTTTTAAGGGCAAAATGAGAGTCAAAACAAACTGAAGCAGTATCCCCTCCTCTTTGCCCCTCCTGCCCTGTCTGTGAAAGTAGGTCTTGTGTGTTCATGACAGAGACAGTTGTGGCAGTCAGGTAGCGCAGCAGTAATAACTGGCTCCAGAACTAATGTATACAGAATATAGAGCTCGTGGCGCATTGCAGCGACACCATGTCAAATAAAGAGATTTACATTTTTGCAATATGCATATGTATGTCTAACATTGTTTGTAGCAGATGTATCTGCAGTAACACAAGCAAATTTTCCAGAGGAATGTTTTTTCCCCAACCAATAATATTGATACAGTACTAATTTTCTGGCCACTGTCACATTCAATGTTACATACTTGACACACATAACCACGAATTGTATGTGAAACATGACAAATCGCATGTTGTGCTTCGATAGTGGAACAAACTCTCCATTTTTTTTTTGTTGATTTGATGGCGTAAATTTTAACGTCTCACTGAAATGCTACGTGGGCTGCAGTGTTATGCCCGACATAAACTGGAGTAAAACAAAGTGAGAATTAGCTGAATTACTTTACTAATCCAGGAAAATGTGGTGGTTTCTGCTAATTGGACAACAAAACACAAATTCTGCAGTCAGTTGGAACGACTCAGTTACAACCAGAATAACTCAATACAAAGGTACAGAATTGAAAAGCTAATGCTAGCTTGCTAATGATGCTGACTTATACACGTTATGGTCTTGCAGAAAAAAATCCACATCTGCATCACATTTTAGTCCTTTGATGCTTTTAATACGCTCCATCTCTGACATGCCAAACAGATATTAGTCCTGGTTTTGCCTCGTTCTTTGTTGCACTCTTTCTGTGCTACAGAACATGGGCTCTTGGGTCTAGCAGATCTGCTCCCGTCCTGAGTTGTACCTGCAGAGGGAGCCTCCATGATCTCTTTGGAATGAGCCATACTGGTTTGAAAAATGCATCTTATAACCTCAGATCAGTGAGGCTGTGGAAGAAGTGCAGTGCAGATTTTAACAGTGGCCACAGAGGGCAAAAAATAAACACAAGGCCTGAAGATAACGGTGTGGTGTGGGGGGTTTAGGACAGCAGGGGGAAAACACTTGTAGACAATTTTTTTTTTTTGATATATCCAAATTTGTCCTAAATCTCAGTTAATGCAGCTTTAAAGAGCTCATAATGAAATGTAACTTGATGGTGTGTGTGTGTGTGTGTGTGTGTGTCTACAGTTTAAGACAACCATAGGTGACCTGCAGTTCCTGTTTTTTGACATTGCTTTGGTGACTCTGCTGGCCATCGTGATGGGAAAAGGAGGCCCCAGTAAAGAGCTGCACCCCTGCAGACCCCCGGCCAGTCTGCTGACCCTGCCTGTCTTCTGCACCCTCTTCACCCACACCTGTATGATCATCCTGGGCCAGCTGGCTGCGCTCTTCATCACTACCTCACAGGAATGGTTGGTACAGTGACACGTGGCTACAAACAACTTGTGTACATGATATCAAAACAAAATAAATTGTCTGAGTTAGGAAATGACCAGCCATTTACACTTTAATATATTGTACAGCTTCATTCTTTTATAACTCTATTATTTTAGGTATATTCCGCTCAATTCAACAGTGTTTGGAGCAGCCAATCTGCCCAATATGGAGAACACCAGTGTGTTTGCCTTGTCAGGTTTCCAGTACATCATCATGGCTGTGGTGGTCACAAAGGGCTACCCTCATAAGAAACCTCTCTACTTCAATGGCAAGTCATCAAAAATGTGCAAAGATAATGCTTTTGGGTTGGAATGGTGATTTTAGATTTATGACCCTTAACTGTTTTATTTTTTCTTCATGTTATATTTGCAGTGATTTTCCTCTGTCTGTTGTTTGTCCTCTTTGCCCTGATGACGTGGCTGGTGGTGTATCCTGGGCCTGCCGTTTGCCAAGTATTTAAACTGTACAACTTCTCCGATACAAATTTTAAAATGCTGCTCGTTGCTCTGGCTTCTCTCTGCTTCCTCGTCTGTTTTGTTGTGGAGGTGAGTGTGGATATGAAATTTTAATATTCCTTTTTGGGACAGATAAAATGTAGATGGAAAAATAGCTGCCTTAGCCATTTGCTCCAACACCAACCAAATGAAATGTGGCTGTAATTAATGTTGGGATTCTCCAAAATTTAGCTTTGAAGACCCTTACAGGCTGGAAAAATTGGAATATTTTTCTTGACAAAGAAACTAGTGACTAGTCATCTTAAGGTCATGTCATGGCAACATTATGTGGTTTCGTTATCTTCGGATGAGTGTGACTGCTGATGTCGCCATTTTGGCCATGTCTACTTTGTAGAAGAGGTTTGCAAGTTCACTGGGACTTCCTCGTTAAATAAAGGTCAAAATATTTGACATGGTGTAGTAGAAAAAGCGCAGGTGTAAATATTAAAATGAATGATGCTGAATTTCATGTCAGCATAGCAGCCTTGTTATTGTCACGCTGGCTCAGTCATCATTCCTTTAATGAAACACGAGCACAGTAGGGCCACCATTAATGCCGTTGGTAATACCTGTACTTTTCCTACTATGGCAAGTCCAAAATATATGCTGTTAAAAAGGCCTACTGTCCATTTTCATCATTAAATATTTTAAATTGGCAGTCTGTGTATTCGTAAAAGACCTTGTTAATTTAAAGTTGCTTTTTTTTTTCCGCCCTCCCCTCTCCAGCTGCTGGTAGACTTGGGTATCCTGAACTGTCTTCAGTTACTGCGTGGAAGGCGTCTGTCCAAGAAACAGTATAAACGTCTGCAAGTCCTATTGTCTGACTCACCATCATGGCCACCTCTTAATCAAACCCTGTTCCCCGCAGACAGTACAGTCATCAACATGAGGTAGCATCTGCCTTCCCCCTGTTGGACACTGACTTCACCGACAATGCAAAGTCATGTTTACTGTATTAATAAAAAGCATTATATGTAAACTTTAGTGTGTATTATGTTAATACAGTATTAGTACACTGCATTAGTGTGTGTGTGCATGTTTTTGCCAATTTACTCATCACAAACAATTTCTCTCATGGGGTATGTGCCCATGGAGATGGGTTTTGGTGTTATTTGCCCAGGTTTTCCGATTTCCACCTTTTCAATACAGTGGAGGTGAATGAAATTTCATTTGTGGTCCTTTACACTGGATAACCCTCTGGTCCTGCTGTGATCAGCAGCCACTGGAATTACTTTAACCAAATCATGTTCCATGGAGGTTGAATGTAATTCAATGTAAACCAATGACCATGGCATTAAACACCACTTTTTGCAAATCATTTTATTAAATCTATTTACAGGCAGTTGTGTTGTCACTCAGAGCTCAGCTACAACAGTCTGTCTCCTACTAGATTTCCCAAACAATCTCTTACCAGTATTATGAAAACTCCCTCTGATATAGTTTCTTGAGCTAAAATGTTAACCAGGAAGTAAAGATTTGATACAGGAGGCACAAGCTGAATTCAACCATTATAGAAACTTCTCTATGGATGTGCACCAGTGAATATGGCTTTGAGATCTGTTTTAACAAAGGTGAACTGACATTTACTGGGCACAATGGACAGCCAGGTAGCCCCTACCTCTGTTCAACCAAAATCTCTCTCTACTTTAAGGTTTTAGTTTCATACTGTGACCAAGATGCCAAAAAAGAAAAAAGGCATTCATCTTGGAACATAGTTACAGCTACATTTCACCACACACTGTATAATGCTGTTTCCAACAAAGTGCCAGCCCAAGCTTAAATATGGGCATTTGCTGTTTGAGTAATCAAACCTGCTGGAAAAATACAATCAATTCATTTCATTCATTCGGTCGTATTCGCTTGTATCCGATTTCCTACGTGCAGTACATCAGTGAAAGACATGAAACAAGTACGCTGCTGATGAGGTGGAGATACGCTGGAGAGGCTTGTCAAGTACAGCAGTAGATTTATTCCATCTGAACCTCCTTTGAATTGCTGCCAACACAATCTTCAAATAATGACATCTGTATTAACCGATACACTTACATGTTTAGGATTTTTTTTTTGGTTCATTGATTAAAATACTGCTCTGACATCTTATACAAAAGGCAGAAAAGCTATTTAAAAATGGATTTAAATCTACATTCTCATTTGTTTTTTGTTTTTTTGCTTTTACCTTGAAATAGAAATGACGTGACAACCCAAGGAAGACCAGACAGCTGAAATATATATATAAAAAAAAATTAAATAGAACTTGTCAGCTATGCAGCCTGACACCTGACCATTACACTCAGTTTAAATCAAATGAAAGTTTATATAATGGGGTGCAGTAACAATGCTGACAGCTCAGTTAAGTTGGTACTCGGCCATAATCGTGTACTTACTGTAAAGATCTGACAACACAAGCTGCGGCCTTCGGTTTTTGTTAAAATGTAGCATCAGCAACAGTGGAAAACTGTTTCCTATTTCATAAAACCAGCAGTTATGTTTATTTTAAAACTCTTCAATATTAAATGCTCTTTTATTAAACTTGTTCTTGTTTGTGTATAATGTGAAGTACTTTATTAGTACTCGGTAGATGGAGCATCACTAGAATATATATGACAAGCAAAAGAAAAAAGATTAAAAAAAATGTTGTGATCCAACATCTTAAAAATTAAAAACATGAAAAGGTATGACAAGTGATGTCTGTTATTATTGCTGGGGAGAAGTTGCTGCACAAGTGAAGTACCAGCTTCTCTCTTTTTGCTATGGCCTGTCACCTCTCTCTCTCTCTGCCATCCTTTAAGTCTCTGCTTCTGCCTTGCAAGTGTCCTGAGACGGAGCTGCTGGGGACTGAAGGAGGTGAGGAGTGTCTCTTAAAGGGATCATCACAGTGAGTCCAGAAGAAGTCAATCACAGTGTCAAACAGACTGGACTGGTGAGACAAAAGAGGACATTGACTTCCTCCTAGAGATCCTCACTCTCCCAGGACTGCTGGGGGTGGGGTGGGGGGTGGGGGCAGCAGTGTGGCCGTGCTCACAGCACATCCAATATATTGGAAATGAAGGAAGGACGTTTAAGAATACAGTGCTTTCTTGCTCTCAGGAGGCCACTGATGGCTTGGAGGCTCCTGGGCCCATTTATCTGTTCTGTCGGAACCCTTGGCTACCATCTGGGCCGGCTGGCTGCCGGACAGTGTGATTATTTGACCGGGTGTCCTCTGAAGGCAGTGTAGAGTTATGGTGCCCTGGCCTGGCAGAAAAAGATTAAACAGGAATAAATTAGAGAGAGCAGCCTTTTCCACATGCTAGCTGCTGGACAGAAACTGCACACAGCTCGTTTCCAGTTGGCAACGTTCTGCAGCATTCTTGTTTTCAGTGGACATCTTTTTTCTGAACTGTTCCAAATACAGAATCCCTGCGGTCTCACATTACCTCTGCCAAGCAGGTTATGTTTTAGGTTCAGTGCGTGTGTTTGTTGGTTAGCAGGATTACAGACAAACGGCTGGATGAGTCATCATCATAAGTACAGACATTGGTGGGGACCAACCCTTGAATAGGGGTGTAAGAAACATCAATACACCTGAGTATTGCGATATTATGTTTCACAATACTGTATCAATTCTCAAAAACAGTATGGATTTTTAATTAATAGTTAATATGCCACCTGGGAGGTGGCTCGGGCATCTGTTTCAGATGCCTCTTGGGCGCCTTCCTAGGGAGGTGTTCCGGCCTGTCCCACCGGGAGGAGGCCCCGGGGAAGACCCAGGACACGCTGGAGGGACTATGTCTCTCGGCTGGCCTGGGAACGCCTCGGCAAAAAAAAATTCCCCCGGAGGAGCTGGAGGAGGGTGTCTGGAGAGAGGGAAGTCTGGGCATCTTTGCTTAGGCTGCTGCCCTCGCGACCCGGTTCCGGATAAGCGGAGGAAAATGGATGGATGGGTTAATATGCCAAGTAGTGCTATGTTGTTGGATGTGACAAATGCAAATGCAGATTCCTGTTCTGATTGCATAAAAAGTTAACTTTTTACAGATATTATACATATGGTGGTGTGTTATTTTATGACTTTTTCTAAAAGTAGATTTTTTTTTAAAATTGCTTTGTTTATAGTATTGCAACAGACTGAATTGTAACCCCTGAATTGTTATTGTGATACGTATCATCAGATTCCTGCCAATACACGGCCCTACTCTAGAAGTATTATATTTTGGCTGAAAAAGGTCAAGGTCATAAAAAAATTTTTAAAAATCCCAATCTTTAACATGGGGCAAAAAAGAACCCATTATATCTCCATTAAAAGTTTTTTTTTTGTATGAAATTTGACACACATGTAGGGTAATAATGTCTAACAGCAGACCAAATTTCATCAGGACCTGATCCAGATTCCAGATCTGATGGCCATTTAAAGTTAACATTAACAACCCTATTTAATGCATATTTTCTGCCTTAACTTGGCCTATAATACAGATAGAACCCTGAAATGTAAGGTAAAGTAAGATGCACAGTTGATTTGAGTTTCGGTCATTTTTTTACACCGTGCAAATGTTTTGATGCTTTTTATTTTGGCACAGTTCAAATCTATTCAAATTTCCACTTTTCTGTCAATTAACATATTAGTGTAAAGAAGACAGTCATTCTAGTTCTGCAGAGATGCATCAGAGACCCGTTTCTAATTACTGTCTCCACATTCAATAACCTGGACATACTGTTTGTCCAGACAAGCCTATAAGGCAGAAAAACAATGTGCCTACCTGTTGTAGTCTAAACCATTAAACCATAAGCAACGCCACCCTAGTTTAATCAATCCAGCTGTCTACACAGGCTAAATTACAAATCTACATGACCAAAGGGATATTTTCATACTTCAAGTCTATTCTTGTGCATTTTACATACATGACTACAGTAACTGTGCTTGACTCTGAATACTTACAAAACACAGGTGATCCACAACTCAGCACTGTGCCTGAACACATCCTGTGTAGACACATGTGAATCATCTGAGCTACTGCTTTATTAACATGCTGCTCACACTATACTTCAGTGTAGACACAGTGCAAGGTTTATAGCCTTTACATATCTTTTTTTTCCTTGAGAAACACCTATTTTGCTTCTAATTTAAGTTATAGTCTAACAGTACTAAAGAAGTTAGTGAATAGTGAAATAATTCAGAATCAAATGTCAAATTAAACTGTAAATCAAACAAAACCTGTTCTGGAATCTGAGAGGAGAATGTGCTTTGGAGAAAGATACACTGAAATACTCAACAACCAAAGATTTTAATTACTGGAATCAATTGCGGCACAACATGGAACACACCAATTACAGCAAGGCTGTGTTAAACTGTGACTAAAACCTTTACACTCTCAGTATTTGTGTATCATTACCTGTCAGTGTTGGGCTTGTCCTGAGGCATATCCTCTGGGCAGGCACTGCCCAATATTCTCTTCCTGGCCTCGGCGTACTCCGCCTCACGCTGAGCCAGAGACTTGACCTGTGGTGTGGGCCTGTTCTGATTCAAGGGTGATCCCAGTGATCCATTACTTGTAGGCCGCTTCAAAATGCGAATCTGAGGTGGGGGTGCTGCTGGTAGAGAGTCATCCTGTATCATCATGGTCTTCAACAGAGATCGTGAAGAATTATAACCAGACTCCCTAGAAGCAGACCAACAGGACACAATCCATGCAGAATTACCAATATGACAGGCAGGCAGAGGCCATTAAATTAAAGAGAAGTAGGCAGTGCCTACAACTTAAGATTTTTTTTTTTCAAAACCCCAATATATTTATTACCAATCAAGTTTCTCTCTGCTTAGTTGCAAAATTACATATGTGATTTCTAAATTGTCAGGATCCATTCTTCATTTCAGCTAATTAAAATAAAAAAGGAATTTGTTCATTTTTGACTGAAATACACAAACAATACACTGGTCCAACTTTTCAACTCCCAATTCCAATATTTCAGCTTAGAGTATCTACTAACACCAAAGCCAACACCGGTGTTTAATATTTCCAAGACTCAAAATGTCTATACTAAACTGCATGGTACTTATCTGGATCATTATTATGTAAGGTTACATGATTGCTATTGGCACTAGAAATTATTTGGTGGCCCACTGTGGGATCAATACAGTACTTACCTACCTGTGACTGCATAAATGTAATTTAAAACAAAAACATTGACTGCTTTTAAATTGTGGATCAGTCAAATCTGGCCACTACTCAGTGAACTTAATAAAATCAGTGTTGACCCTCATATGGACCCAGTGAATTACAAAACTGCATTATTACTTCTTAGAAGATCACTTGTATGATGAACTGAAGAGTGAATCATAGTAATTTATAAAACATCTTAGATAATGTTTAAGTATGTACTTCAAAAAACAGGACACATAAGCGAAACAATGTTATTTTGAATGGAAACTGAAGCAACTATTATAAAGTGCCGAATTTGGTCCATGTTTCTTGTACATTCTTTAAGTCTTACTTTTCTTTCTGACTGATCCTTAGCTTCTCTTCTAACCGCTTTTCCATTTCCTGTAGGGGAAAAATAGTCCAGACACAATCAACTTGGTCAGATTGATTTAGGATGGAAAGAAAAGTGCGACAGCTAACAGGCAAGCACCAAAGTGGATGGAGAGCAGGATTCAGTTACAAGCTATTTATACACGTGTAGGACAGCTGCCAAGTCATAACAGAGAGAGTGCTCAACTAGCTAACATTAGCCGGCTGATGTTGCCATTGAAAATGGTTAATATAAAGTTGGCTAAGGCTCATTTTTATTAAATTTTACATCGACTACCCACACTAAAATATGTTGAAAAGATATATAACTTAAGTTCGGACTATCGGCTAACGTTGTTGATAAGCTAACGACGGTCTGCCAAGCTACCCTGACCACCGCTAATGTTAGCGAAATGTTGCCAGTTTGTCGACATAACAAGCACGCTACTGGGCCACCAGTTGACAGTGTTGTCCAACCATTCACCGGCCTTGTAAACTGACAGGAAACCACAAAGTTAGTTCAACGAGATACCATACAGCTAACGTTACAGTTAGAAATGTGTTAACACAAATGTAGTGTCCATGTACACATTTCTGTACTGTACATAACGTTATGCGATCTCATATGTACTCATATTCACTTTATGACAGTAAATCCTAAAGTGATTCAAAGTGCTGCTAGTCGTCCACGGAGAAGGAATGGGGTGAACCATTGATCAAGTTAACATTTTTCTAAAACGAGATGTTATCAAACGTAACTATGCCGAACTAAATATAAATAAATATAATAGTTTATATTGTGAAATGTGTGTAGATTAGCCAATCAGTAAACCAATATTTAAGTGCTATATTTTACATGGTAGCCATTCCATCTTTTACTAGTTTAGCAATAGCTAACGTCAGACGTAGCATTTATACTGCTGTTAGACCTTTACTTCAACGGGTTTAGCTCACGACACTATTATTTGTTAGCTGAACATTGTTAGCGCATCTTAAGGCGCAATAACGCTGTCAGATACGTTAGATGTACAGTTAGTTATTAAACGTCACTTGGCTAGTTGGCTGTGTCCCGGTTAAGACTGTCTCGGATGCTAGCTACTTGACGTTAGCTCGCTAAGTCGCCTAAAGCTATCGTTAGCATTAGCCACATCGTCGGCCCGCGGGAGTCGTTAACATGAAACGACTACATAAGAACTTCTAAAAGCAACAATGTAAATACAAAGACGCTACCAACTGATATTTGCATTAAACTGTAGATACAGAAAGCTTTATATTACTTACCCCACTATCAGCAGCTTCCTCCCAACTTTCGGCGATCTCCTCATCCATGTTTCATTTTGCTCAGACACGCTGTGGAGCCAAAAGCTGCTGCTATAAACCCCGCCCATCTGCTGTCTACGGCCTGTGACGTTAACACCGGTGGATTTCCCCACAGCATGGCATCCCCCCACACAGCTGATTAGAAATGAGACTAAAGCGGCTAATGACTGTTCAGTTAGATGAGACAAAGGGACTAACGACGGTACAATGTTTATCTAAAAGTAAAATTCATCCTTTTCATGATTTTGTTTCTTGCAAGGTGGACTGCTGAAATGTACTGTTTGGCCTCCCCAAAAAGACCATTAGACTAAAATACAGTCCATTTACCATCTGCAACTCGTTCAAAATGCAGCTGCTAGAATAGTGACAAACACCAAGAAGAATTCATTACTACTTTTATTTTTTACACTCTGTCTTCTTTCGATCTTTCTTCTTTTCTTTTACTTAGTATTTTAATGTTTTATGTATATATGCATTATGCAAGGTACTATGAATTTCCATTGTGTATGAAAATGTGCTATACAAATAAACTTGGCTTCTGTTTTAGTTCTGAACATACTAGAGGTATGTGAACTGCATTCAGCCCAGGGGCACTGTAACTGCTTTCTTATTTGATGTGGCTCTCCTCCCCATTAAAAAAAATCTCATGTGATATTCAGGGACGACTGACATAAAGTATAGAAACTATGAACGGAAACAGTTCATTCCTTGGCACCATTTGTGTTTATGTATATTGTAGTGACCTCCGGCGCGGAGGAGAGGAGCGAATCCTAACTGTGCAGCTAACTGGCTAGCGGGGTGCTAGCACCTACGTAAGACTAACACTTTACGAACGGGCTCCGTGCACCGCACAGCTCTAACAATTCCTGGAGGATCACACCTTCCCCTTATGTCACTGGCACAGTGTGCACCCTCACCCTGAATTGCTCTTCAGTGGCGTAATTCACTGTTCTCAAATCACAGCACGTCAGCCAGCTCTCACTTGTCTTTTATTTTCTCAGTCACAGCCACAACAACTAACACACACAGGCATTATACAGCGAAAACACTTCCAATCGAACAGCAGTCAACAGGTTCGAGCACCGAATGCTCGATGCAACCCAACACACACAGCATGAACCCAACAGTCATTTTTAACCCCTCAAAATACAACAATAACAAGAACCGTAAAACACAATGACTCAGGATTATACCACAATATTACGCAAACTATTTACACATTTGCATAATGCTTGCCGCTGTCACTAACCCTCCCGCTGGCTGGCATAGTATAAAGCCATAGTATACTTGTACATCTGCTTAATTTCTGTTATTGTAACTCTTTCATTTCAAAGACTGGTGTGACAGGTAAAAATGCAAAGTCTGAATCTTTAGATAATTCATTCCAGTATTTCTTTGTTATGACCCACCAGTCTATCACATGGCTGAATAATGACCATGACCGTTATATTATATTAAATATGCTGTATTATATTATATTATATTATTTAGTGGGTGCCATTGTTTCACATCGGAAGTTTTCCAAACGTTACCAACGCGTTGATACTTCCGGTGTGCCATTATACCGCTGCGCGTACTTCAGGTTTGTTTAACATTTCAATAGCACAGTGAATCATTTAACCATTTACTGCGCTTAGGCTTTTAACTAGAGCTATGGACACAGCCACGTGTTCTCCAGTTCATGACTGTACCTGCTGTACTAACTACTACTTTTAAAACCATGTAGTTAGCTGCAGAAGTTGTTTATCATCAGTCTCCCATGCTAGTTTTAGCTAGCTCATGTCAGGCAGCTACTGTCATAGCGTCACTCTTGACTCAATACATACAACGAGTTTAGATGTATGTTAGGTCAGTAAATTAACTCAACTACAATTTTGACGAATGTGCCGAGATAATCCGCTGTTTTACAATTCTCCCATTGATTTACACATAAACAAGTAAGCTGTAGTGTTAGCGGGTTCTCTGCGTCTCCCAAACTGTTTTGTTAGCTAAGCTAAACAGTACATTGGGATGCATCTGTTTTGTTAGCTAAGCTAAACAGCATTGGGATGCATCTTTTGTTAGCTAAGCTAAACAGTACATTGGGATGCATCGTATGTAAGCTAACGTTAACCAAACCGAAAGCTGCCTCATGTCAGATTTAACTACTAGAGTTGTAATGTCGTAGACATGGCACTGAACAGCACTTAGAAGAGACATAACTAAGTGTTTGGAGTTAGCACAATGCATTTAGACGCGACAGCATTTGCTAGAGAAAAGGTACAAATTTGTTATTAATGCTGCTGTTTTATTGAACTCATTGCTGTTTGCTGATAAGCGAGTGAGGTCCAGTATTTGTTAAAAGTTTACAAAAATGCCCCAGCTATCACATTTGAATAGTAATTCAGCTAAGATGTAATTTTTTAAAATGTTGGTCGAGCTTCATGAGCAAATTGTAACAAGGAGCAAACTAATATTCTACCCATAAATTTGATCAGTGGTCTTATTTTGTCAATTTACATAAAAGTAAAAAATAAAATATATAGAAGAATTACTATTAAGTAAATCAAGTAAATTCACTGAGAATACACCAAATATAACGAAAGCAGTGACCCACAAATGGTTGGCTCTTTTGTCATTGATCTTTTTTAAATATATTGGTTCATTTGTTCTGCATGAATCAACCTCATCGTGATTCTGAGCTGTGCTGAAATGACATGCTATATAATGAGCATGTGTGTTGTATGTGTGTGATGTGGAGCAAGGAGGTACAGAGTGCATGCTGATGGGGGACGAAAAGGAGACTTGGAAAGTAAAAACTCTTGACGAAATCCTACTTGAGAAAAAGCGAAGAAGAGAATTAGAAGAGAGAACCGATCCGAAGCGCCAGAAAAATGTAAAGTATCTAAAAAATTTATGTATGACATATGTTGACACAGTGTGATAAACAATAGCAAATATTTATCAGTTCTCTATTTGTTCTAGATGTTTTGTATTTAACTAACTATGGTAAGTGAGAATATACATTTATAATAAATACAAATAATTATAATGACATATTGTGCCTTTTAATTTTCATAAATTCGTGCTTTAACATAACTGCATTGTGTCTTTTAGTCTGAATGTTGCTTCAAGGGCTTTTGCACCAGGACAAAACAATTTTTAATGTGATTATTTTTTTAGCAAGATACTTGTTAAATATTTAAGTCGGTAAATATCTAGCTATATTCTAAATGTTATGGTGTTCCTGTTACCTTTCTTGATCCTGATCTGATGACATTTTAATGATTTATCTCCATCCGTAACCTAAAATTCTGCTCTTGTTGTCTTGCACAGTTCCCACAGGGCCTTGTTCCACAGGCGGATGATCGGGAATCCAAACGAGACACTCCGGAGGAAGGAGAACTACGGGATCAAAGAATGGAAATAACAATTCGTAATTCCCCGTACACACGGGAAGACTCAACAGAGGACAGGTACTTGGAAATGTCGAAAATAAAAAATGAGTAAATATGTTGACTGCTAATTCAGGGTATGTGTAGATTACGGTGGGAGTAAGTATCCATGTAACTTAAAAGTATTTATGTCATAATTTAAAAGATTATTCACCACCCACTTTCTTACAATGTTTTATATATATTTAAACAGAGGAGAGGAAGATGAATCACTAGCAATCAAGCCCCCACAGCAAATAGCGAGGAAAGATAAATCTCACCACAGAAAGGAGGAGAAGAGAAAAGATAAAAGACGCCATCGTAGTCATTCTGCTGAAGGAGGTGTGGAAGTGCTGTTCAGTTACATAAAACCAAACGTGTTACAGCTGAATACAAGACATTTGGAGTTCCACTTACAGTTTTTTCTTTTACAGCAGGGAAACATGCACGACCCAAAGAAAAAGAGCGAGAGAGCGATCGCAGGAAGCGTCAGTGGGAAGAAGACAAAGCCCGGCGAGACTGGGAGAGGCAGAAACGAAGGGAAGAGGCCAGAGCTCATTCACGCAGAGAAAGGTGAGCACTGACCACATATTAGACTAGAGATTTATTTAATGTAATGTCACAGTCGATTATGACTTTTGTGTAATCAGTATATTTTGTTTTGAATGTCGACATTACTTCTTTTGGATTTCTGATAAGTTACCAGGTATTCAGTTTGTCCCCTAAAGTCTGTTCAAGCATTTCAGCAACATGAAACTTCATCTAGATGTCTGTTTTTTTTTTTTCTTTTCAAATCTCTCTGAAGTTCAGATGGCAAGATGATCCCCCCCCATGTGGTTTTTTTTTGGATCACAGGGACCGACTGGAGCAGCTGGAGCGCCAACGTGAACGGGACAGGAAGCTGCGTGAACAGCAGAAAGAGCATCGGGACCTCAAGGATCGGGAAAGGAGGGCGGAGGAACGTCGCAAAGAACGAGGGGCTCGACGCGATGGTCAGTCTTTATGCTAACATTCTCATTCCAGTTGTGTTGTTAATACACAGAATCTGATTGAAAGAAAAGAGAACAAAAGAAACATAAGCATATCTCCCAAAACTTTTGACCCTTTTTCTTAACCATAAATCTCAAAGCATCCAGAGCTAGTGTTTTATATACAACTAACTATAAAGGTTGTAATTTTTAAACCCTGTGAAGTTAAAGTTACAACAGTGAATAATGAGAGACTTTTCTGTCTACAGCTCCATCTCACCACAGGATGCTACCTGATGAGTATGATGAGAAGTCAAAACAAAGTCACCGCAGCCGTAGTCCTACCCGTGATCCCCGGGACAGATCTGAACATAGCGAATCACGGAAAAGTGCAAGTGAGTTTACCATTATTTTGACTGTTTATAAAATAAAATTTCTATTTGCTTTTATTATATTTATTTTTAAATCTACCCTGTCATTGTTTGCTGGTACAGCGAGTCCCTTAGATATATTTTACATTTCAGCCTAAGTCTTACTACTTTTTGTCTGCAGCATCAAAGGAGGAGAAACCGGAGGGCAAAGACCTGCTTGCAGACCTCCAGGACATCAGTGACAGCGAAAGAAAGACCAGCACAGCAGAATCCTCCATTGGTAATGGATGATATAAACTACACTTAGAGAAACTCAATGTCAGCATGTGCAAGGACAGTTTTGGATACTACTGTATGTCTAGTTCATACTAGTATTAGTTGTTTAATTGCTGTAGTCCTGTAAATTGCAATAGGTTGGGAAGTATGACTTGTTCGGTTGAGGAAGGAAGGAGGAAAATCACTTGCTTATGTCAGTCATACAGTTTCTTTGAATAAGAAGAGATAAATTGATCAGAAGCACCGCATTAATGCACAGGTGCCAACACAGGACCACCAGAGCTAACAACTGCGAGATGACATGGCAGTATAGTATTGCAGGTGAATTGTTTCGTGTTATTTTAAAAACTGCTTTAAATCTCCCTATTCTTGTCTAGCATCAGCATCAGGCACTGACGAAGAGGAGGAGGATGATGATGATGCAGAAGAGTCCAGTGGCAAGAGTGAGGGTGAAGAAGAAGAGGAGGAGGAGGAGGAGTCTGTCTCAGGGTCAGGAAGGTCTGAGCAGAGTGCAGGTAAAACTGCTTGTGACTGCTCTATTACTGTGACAGGTTCAGTTTTACAGCATGACAGGTTTAACACAGCAGCTTCTCTCTTTTCAGAGGATGTGAGTGAGGATGAGCAGTCAGAGGAAGACTTTGAGGAGGAGAGGGAAAATGGAAATCACATAACTGCAGGTGGGTGGACCTCTGATGCTTTTAACATGTCACCAGTGACATTTCCAGTCTTATTTTTGAGATCTTATTGACCTAGTAAAGTCATTTAGAGGCATAAAGTGTTCTGTAGCTAAATTGAAAATATGTCCTGAGTGTTAAATGTTTTTGTGTAAACTGTTGACAGGGTGCATAAATCACATTTGGGTCAGTAAAGTCTTGTCTTTTTCTGCTGAGATATTATTTAGAATTCTTCTCTGTCATAAAAGGCCCTGCCAGAACTCTTCACTGCAGGTTTCTTAAAGGCGCAGTATGTGATCCAAATGCAAAGGCAAAGGTAGCATCACCATAATTTCAAAAACACAGGAGTGGAACCTGTCACTGTCAGACTGATGGGCCTTTTCCACAGCAGATCTTTTGACTTATAGTAGGAAAATCACAAGTGTTGCTAATAACATTAACAAAATACTGGTTGTGTTACTTCTGTTACTGGTTCTTCTCCAATGTCCCAGTAAGTTATGACAGTGAGCACACACAATACTAGGACTTTGAAACTGGAGCAGCTAAACAGTAGTCAGCTATCATCAGCTTCAGTGAAAAAGGCCTATTGACAGGTCTTATAATACAGGGACCTACACTAGACAACAACTACCAATAATAAAAATTTGAAAGTTCATTTTTGGCCTTTGAAAAAGTAATTTAACAAAAACCAACTAACTCAGCTCATTAACTTAAGCCAGTAAAGACTACTGGTTTAAGAGTCTGCATCTCATGAGGTGAATCCCAGCTCCCCTAAATGCATCCACGTTTCCCTCGCTTGCGTCTTGATCCTGCCAACATAAGATGCAAGGCATGAGGAGAGAGGAAATACTTTTAACTGACATGAGACATCCTTTCCTTTGACGCTTTATGTGAAGCATCCAATCACAAAATCATTTCTGATAAAGGGGCATGTTAATCTATAATAGACTTCCACAAAGGATGTGTTCGTGTATGCTTGGTTATAGCTCCTTCAGGCAGTTTCCTCATTTTTGTAATACAGTATCCCAAATATTTGATGTCAGTGCACTCCTTCAGGGGACCATCTGACAAAAAGAAATCTATAAACACTGATCTTCTCTCCTACCTACTTCTACAATCATGATGTTACTCTTTAAAACTTTGTACTCAATATCATGTTCTAATCCATATTGAGAGCAAAGCCGCAATAACTGTTGCAGACCAGCACTGTATGGGCAAAAAAAAATCACCAATTCATCAGCAAACATTAGATGATTGATGAGTGAGTTGCCAACCATGCAGCTTGTCCTATAGCCATTAGGTGGAGCTATAGCAGACCGGAACAACTTGAGCGAGGATCAAGGACTGACTGGGATTCACCTACAGTCTTCATTTATGTTTGCAGGGTCACGCCTGATCCTTGCCTTAAAAAAAATAAATAAACAAAATGATTTAATAAGAGAAAACAAACAGTGATTTGGTGTATACACTTTCATTCTTGAAAACTGTAATGGAAAAGTTTCACTATTTTGACAGTTGAGAAAATAATAATAATTGTAATAACTGATAATAATTGTTAGTTGGAACCCTAAATTGAATTTAATTGTGAATCTAACAATAAATCAAATGCATAACAGCAATGAGTGGTTCATATCTTTAGTTCTAGTAGCTCCGGTCAAATGCGCTTACTAATGGTTAACATGCTTTGTCTTTTGACCTGTAGTGCCTGAGTCCCGTTTTGACCACGACTCCGAGGAGAGTGGAGAGGACATGGAGGAAGAGGAGGAGGAGGAAGATGAAGCAGGAGATGGTGACCCCACGCCTCAATCTCAGACACACTCGGGCTGTCCCACTCCCGAGGAGCACTATATCCCTGACTCTCCCCCAGTTTCACCTGTAGAGCTAAAGAAGGAGCTGCCAAAATATCTGCCTGCTTTACAGGTTGGTACCAACATAGCGCAAGTCTCAGCGCCCATTTAAATTACAAACATGCACAAATTATGCATGTATATGTAATCATCTTATGGGAACTAGCATTATGTTAAGGTCAGTTACATTGTTTGTATGATGTTTTTCAGGGTTGTCGCAGTGTTGAGGAGTTCCAGTGTCTGAATCGAATAGAGGAGGGGACCTATGGTGTGGTGTACAGAGCCAAGGACAAAAAGACTGGTATAAAAAAATAAAATAAAAACATGTAGATTCATTTGCTTGTTATATTCTCAGATGGGTTGTGTTGATGAAACAGTACAAATGTTCTCATGCTTGCAGATGAGATTGTGGCCCTGAAAAGGCTGAAGATGGAGAAAGAGAAGGAGGGCTTCCCCATCACCTCTCTAAGAGAAATCAATACAATTCTAAAAGCTCAACACCCAAACATTGTCACAGTGCGGGTGAGAGAGATTGAATAATACTTACTGAGGTATTAACTCTTTATTAGAGCTGCTTTAGGCAAATCTAATCCTTCCTACCCCCGCTATAATAGGAAATAGTTGTTGGAAGCAATATGGACAAGATCTACATTGTGATGAACTATGTAGAACATGACCTGAAGAGTCTGATGGAAACCATGAAACAGCCCTTCCTGCCAGGTAAATCACTGTTGAGCCCTGGACCATTTCTTTGTGTGTGTAATAATAAGTTGAATTGGATAGGTGTTCTGACTTTATTATGTGTCCTCTAATAGGTTTTATTTGGGGTTTGAGAGTGAACATCTCTGCTCCACCTCATAAAAGCTCTGTGAAAGCATTATGTCTCTTTTTTTCAGGTGAGGTAAAGACTCTGATGATTCAGCTGCTTCGAGGAGTTCGACATCTCCACGATAACTGGATTCTCCACCGTGATCTAAAGACATCCAATCTGCTCCTGAGCCACAAGGGAATCCTCAAGGTATAGATAGGACTGTGGTTCTGCACCCCGGGGTCCTATAGCAAGGAAAAGCATGCCATGGGCCCTTTAAACTCAAAGCATAAGACAATTGGAGAATCATGATTGTAAAAAAGTTGACCATCTCCCACAAGTTTTACCTCTGGTAACATTCAAGAGGCATGAGTGTCTTGAGTATGTCACTTGTAGACTGAGAAGTTGTGAAACCTTAAGGGCACAAGGGTGGTTACAATATTTAGACTTTCACTAGTTACAACCCCAGAATTATGATTTGATTAAATTACCATGAAAAAAATGCACTGAATGGGGAAAAAACCTAGCTCTAAAATAAATGAGTTTTTTTTTTTTAAATCCATCTTAAGTTTGGTACAGTATGGAAACTCAAAAAAGTGTTTGATTACTTAAAATCAATTAGAGCATGAATTTCTGGTAAAATGTAGACAGACTGGGTTCATATGTAAATAAACCAGGTTTTCATAGATATTAATCACTGTGAATTTTATGTAAGCTGACAAAAGGAAATAAGAATTACAATTCATCATGCAGTTTTCCAATTTTGACTGTTCCGTCCCATGCTGCACCAGAGTTTATAGTCAGTTGATCTCCTATGAAAGGTCAGGGCTTCATAAAATATAACACCTTTTTAGGAACCTCACTGGTTCTGGGGCATTGTTCTTTCCTGCAAATAAAAATTAGTGATCTTACAGTTTTGTTTTGTTTTTTGTTTTTCAATTTCTATCTACTGCTATAGATCGGTGACTTTGGTTTGGCCCGGGAGTATGGTTCCCCTCTGAAGCCATACACCCCTGTAGTGGTAACCCTGTGGTATCGGTCACCAGAGCTGCTGCTTGGAGCCAAGGTGAGATTTCAAGTTCACACTGTCTCCCCTCATTGCAGGCTAAAGTAAAATACCAAAAAGACATCATCAATGTGATGCATGCACTGCATGAGGTAGAACATTACCAAGAATACCTGAGAGCATATTAGGAGATCACTGTGAAAGGCTACTTTTGTGGCTAAAACTGCACAAACTGCGAGAGTAGAAATGTTCATTATATCAAGTAGGAAACCTACCAGTTAGCTTAAAGTCCAGAACTGATTTGTTTTTCAGTTGGTTTGTGATTTTAAAAAATGTATGTAATGCAAGGATGTGTGCTGCAAAAAAAAAAAAATCACCTTTAAACTAATTTTGGAGCTTTATATCAAGCTGCTTTATTTTTAGTATATTGTTTAGTGTATTATTTTTAGTGTTATGACATTGTGGGAACATGTTTTCTACCCCAGTCCTTTGCACACATGCTTGATTGCTTGTTAACAGGAACCTTGCCTATGCACCAGCTTAAACTACAGACATTAAGGTTAATATACGTACATAGAGGTAGTTTCATCCTCTTGATTGATTTGTTTTAACCAGAAATATACCCAGGAGGAGACATCTGTGAAGCATTTGGTTTAAATGATACCAAATACCACAAGACACTGTTGGGTTTTTTAGTGTATGATTTATAGAGCCAGACAGCAAGGTCCAACAGCCTGTCAGAGCACATCCACTTCCCCCCACAAGACAAACTCAAACATAAAAACATGCCAGGAGGACGTTCTGATTATGTTTCTGTGGAATGCCACTGTGTTTGTTCTTCATTCTGCAGGAGTATTCCACAGCTGTGGACATGTGGTCAGTGGGCTGCATATTTGGCGAGCTCCTCACCCAGAAACCTCTTTTTCCTGGAAAATCTGAAATTGACCAAATTAACAAGATTTTTAAGGTAAATGCCTTCATTTAGCCTCATAAAACACAGTAAATCCTTACCATAAAGGGTAACATGACCTCTGTTTAGAGCCTGTAAATGTTCAGTGCATGTATCAGCCTGCAATTCTGTATTGTACCACCGGGTGTTGGTGGATGTCAACCCAGTGAATGAAGTTGCTATGAAACTGAGAGGCTCATTGTAGTTGGCTGAATAATTTTCACTAAATGATCTGCATGAAGCATGACAGCTGTGTGGCCTGGTGGCACTAAGCCCTCCCAAGCCATCCAACAGTCCTTACCAGTGATGGATTAAAGTATTGAATTGTACTTACCACTGATCCACTTTTACATGTCTGTGGTGAACAACTCCACCAAAGTGGGAATATTCCATGTCCATGTCTGCTTGCACTAACAGCATGTCTGCTGACTTGTGTCTGCTGTCTGTAGGATCTGGGGTCACCCAGTGAGAAGATCTGGCCCGGCTACAGCGAGCTGCCCGCTGTGAAGAAGATGACTTTCACAGAGTATCCCTACAACAACCTGCGAAAGCGCTTTGGAGCGCTGCTCTCAGACCAAGGCTTTGACCTCATGAACAAGTAGGATTCTTAAAGGTTGTCTTAATCCACAACACCTCACATGCTCTGACATGTTAAGGAAATTATCAGGTGGTTCACCTCTTCATTGGTAGGCTATGAGTTACCATTGACGCCGTAGTAGGATGTAGCTCGTAGGCCTAGTAAGTGATCTGTTCCTACTCTTTTGACGCAAACACTGCTGGTAGTTGTATACAAGCAAGCTAACTGTCATTTCCTTACAATAGTCCAGAATGATTACAAGCTCATATTTGAAAGTTTAACCATTCATCTAAACTTGCTGAACTAACATGTTAATAGTTTTCCTCAAATCTTATCATAGGCTGACAATGTTTTTTATCTGCACAAAGTTGTTTAGTGAGTCAAAATCACAAACATGAAGCTGCTTTAACTGTATATTAGTATTTTCTTAGCATTATAGCTTAAATAACCTTTGGCCTACATTACAGTACTTGCACTAATCTACAATGTATTTACTAGGGATGTAGCAAAAACGTACGGTATGATTGCCATGATAAAAAGTCTACAATATGGTATTTATCACAATATTTTTAAAAGAATCATGAACAAGTTTTAAAATGCCCTTTACTAAGTAATAAATCAATGTTACATAATAAATTAATATCATAATATATAAATATCATTGCATCCTTAGTGTTTACATTAGATTTTATTAGTACAATGCCAAATGACAATAGTCCATTAAAATTGAGTTTACCCACAGACATTTAAAGTACATACACAGTTCATGCCTAACAGATAAGCCACTGTAGGTAACTTGTTTTTATAAATAATTATCATGAGAATGGAGCCCTTTATGTTTTTTTTTTAGCTTGAGCACATGCCCCCCAACATATCTCTGGATGGCCCTGATTCTGTTCCATCCCTTCGTTTTGCTTTTCACACACACTCTCCGCATGGTGATACTCTTAGTGTGTGGATCAGGTCGCATATTTCTGTCTGAGCCCAACCCAAGTCCGAGAATATGGTGACTGAAACTTACAAACGCACTGTATTTTATGTCCGAAGCTGACCTGATACCTCAGGTACCGACGGGTCCCACTGGGCTTTTTCACATTTGATGTGGAAAATCATTTTTACACAGAAGGTAATAGGATCGTGATTCTGTCTTGCACATTCCAAAGATCAGCTTTGTTTAGCATCTGCAATGAGCAGAGACGCGGTTCACAGCACTTCTCTCACCCACCCACAGAGCCTTCTGCCTACACCTGTAAATGACAAAACCATACCACTCAGTTTCGTCACAGTTGCAGAGGATGGTAACAACGTGTCCACTGTGCTGCTGGAGGGAGTACGGTTCAGTGGAAGCGTGGTGCCTGGCCAGCCTTGCTGAAACCATTCAGCTGTCAGAAGAATCACATAGCGTTTACTCAGGGACATCCTGAGATCTCAGGAGGTCAACACGTGCTGTTTGAAAAGCTTCAGACAGAACAGTGGAGTAGACGTTTAGAGGTGTATTTGGCAGGTAGAGATTATAGAGCTCTTTGGAATATCACAGACCCTGTGGAGAAGAGTGTTAGAGGATCGAGGCACTGAATATCCAATCTGAGCAGTGGCTTCAATATGCAGTCGATTTCTGAACTTGCTTTACTATTTAGTGCTTCAAACTAGCAGTAAAAGTGCAGTTATAATATGATTTGATGCTGTTGGCTGCTGGTTTTTCTATCATACATAGTAATTAGTTTCCATCACCTCATGTCCCAGGTACAGATGTGGGCAAATTTGTTGGTACCCTCATCACTCATTAAAACAATGTTTTCATTTGTCCTGAAAAGTGATGAAATTAAAAGCAACTGTTTCATATATACCTACACGCCTTTGGTAGGTGTGAAAAGAGATGAAATATCAAACGGCCTGGACAGATTTCTAATTATAGATGAAGCAAGCATGTGACCACAGTAGCAAATATTCTTAAGACATTTTAGTTCTGTAGAACTGTAGCCAGTCTCAATGGACGCAGCCACAACAGGAAAATTGACCCTAGATTGTACAGAAGAATAGTAAATGGAAGACAAAGAGCCAAGGACAGCTTCCAAAGCGATACAAGCTGAGCTCCAAGGTCAAGCTACATCAGTGTCTGATGCACCATCTGTGGCTTTTTGAGCAATAGTGGGCTCCATATCCAAGAGGACTCCAGTGTTGAAAGAAAAACATAAAAATGCCAGACTGGAATTCGCTAAAATGCATATTGACAAGCCACAATGGTTCTGGCAGAATGTCCTTTGGACAGATGACACGAAGCTGGAGCTTTTCGGCAAGACCAGAACACCATAATACTGTGAAACATGAAGGAGGCTTGGTTTTGTGGTTGCTTTGCTGCGTCTAGCATGGGGTGCCTTGAATCCTTGTAGGACACAATGAAATTTCAAGACTGTCAAGGTGTTCTGGAGAGAAACATAGTGCCCAGTGTCAGAACGCTCTGTCTCATGGCTCCTCCAACAGGATGATGACCCAAAACACACAGGTAAAGCAGCCAAGAATGGCTAAGAACAAAACACTGGACTGTTCTGAAGTGCCCTATGAGCCATGATCTGAATCCTATCTAACATCTCTGAAAAGCACTGAAACATGCAGTCTGGAGCTCGAAGTGGAGAGGGTGAGCAGCTTCAAATACCTGGGCGTCCACATCATTGAGGACCTTACTTGGACACTTAACACCACAAAGCTGGTCAAGAAGGCCCAACGGCAGCTGTTCTTCCCGAGGAGGCTGAGGAGCTTTGACATGTTGCCTAGGATCCATTGCAACTTCTACAGCCGCATCATTGAGAGCATCTTGACCAGCTGCATCACTGTCTGGTACGGCAGCACTACTGCTATGGACCGCAAGCACCTGCAGAGAGTGGTAAAGACTGGAGAAGATCACCAGGACTCCACTGCCCTTTCTGCAGAGCATTTACCAGCGCAGGGTGCGTAGGAAAGCTGCCTCCATCTTCAAGGACCCCACCCACCCCCAGCACGGACTGTTCGCCTTCCTACCCTCTGGCCGGAGGTTCAGAAGTGTGAAATGCAGGACCTGTAGACTGAAAAACTGTTTCTTTCCCTCTGCCATCAGACTTCTAAACAGCTGAGGAGTTTATTACCAGGAAATACGTCATGTACTGTCGACCTGTACT